ATTCCAGAGGTGCCTTGCTGATTTCCTGCAGCCCGGCGGGCTCAGGGTGCAGTGCTCCTGGATGCTTTGAGCCAAATGGGAAGGGGTTGGGTCTCTGCTTGGGAAGCTCTTCCCAAACTTTTGCTGACTCAGGCAAAGCCATTTGGTTGAGAAACTCCGATTTTGATCTTCCTGGTGAGGGACTTTTGAGCAGGGAGGTGGGAGCTTGGCCAATTAAATCCGCATGGCCTGGTGCAGACTTTGGAGGAGCGCCAGCATCTGGAGCAGGGGTGGGATAACAGGCCCCTACCTGGAAGGAGCAGGGAAAGGGCTAGTTCATCAGAGGTGCAGGCCTGGATCTGCACAAGCGGGGAAATCTCATGGCTGGAGACTGGGGGCGCTAGAAAGGGATGGGGTCAATGCATGGCTCACAGTCCACTGGGGTCCCTCAGGAGCCGGAGGATGCGGGTCACTGAACCAGTGGGGTGGCTACTAGTCCCTGTCCGGACACCACTGAGATGTACAATCACCTCGGGATGGCCTGCGAGGTGCCGCTAGCGTTCGGCCTGAGCAGGCGTTAGGGGCTAAGACAGGAGAAATGCTGCAGGTGCCGTGTCTGCGGCCGGGCCGGGTAACACTTGCCGTGGGCGGAGGCGGAATTTGACTCCGTGACACTCAGGGAGACGCTCACTCTCCGACCTGGCCGCAGAAATGGCTTGGCCTGTGCACAGGCTGCACTGGGGACAGCCAGCCTGGTGAGGACTCACCCCGGGAGCAAGGAACTGTCTGATGCCCCCCAAGTCAAGCCCCGAAGCAGCTGGAGCAGGCGAGTGCCCCGGGGAAGGCAGCTTGGCAAGCCCGGCCTGGCTCCGTTCCTTATTCCCCACTCATCCCCCTGCCCTTGCCAGGCCCTGCCCCGGCTGCACGTTTGCCGGACGAGATGTCGAGTTTGGCTTGTGACAGGCCTCATGTTGCCCACTTGGCTGCCGGGGATTTGCGCAAGGGCCGGGGCTCACCCCAGCGCGCCCGCTGGCAGCACGGAGCCAAGAGCACGGCAGGAGGTCGCTTACGGCAGCCTGGCATTGGGGGCAGACAGGGCGAGGGGCCAGCGCACTGGCAGGACGGAGCCTGCCAGGGACGGCAGGTGACTAGTGGGCTCCCGCGGCCCCGAGCATGGGGGGTCCCGGAACAAAGACGAGAAGTGCCAGGGCCCTGTGATCACAAGGCGCCCAGAAGGGCCAGGCTGGGAAGAGGGGAGAGACCCTGGCTTGCCCCAGCAGACCCACAGCCTAGACTGGCCTCGCCCGTGCTGAGCCAGCGGTAGACTCTGTAGCCAGGCGGCTGATTCATTGTCTCCTTCCTGGTGTCATGGCAGATGCTGACTCAGCCCCCGTCTGCCCTGCAGGCTTCCTCTGTGGGCACGGCCCCTGGCCTCTCGCATGCTGATCCCCGGGGGGCAGCGCTCCCTGCCTGGGGTCTCCTCCGCCCGCAGCTCGGCGTGGCTTGCAGGACGAGGGCGGCCAAAGGAAAACCAGGATGCGCCCAGCCGCTCACCCAAGGTGCCCCCTTGCCTATCCCCCCCTCACTGGGACTCTGCAGGGGGGTCCCCTGAGGAGGCTGTCACCCATTGCCGGAACCCTGCTGCTCTCCCCATTCCCCTGCACCCCGCTTTGTTGGCAACTGTGGGGCTGCTCCCTCCTTCAGCTGCCAGGACACAAGGGACCCACTTGCCCAGGGAGGCTGCTGCCTCGGCCAGGGAATGAGCTTGGATCAGTTAGTGAAAGCGAAAGTGATTC